TCTTGTGGGTTTTTTCGGGCTATATGGCCATGTTCTAGAGGCATTCCTCCTGACGTTTCACCTGCATCTATGGCAAGCATCCTCAGAGGTGAGGTCTGTTGGAACTGGGAAGGGGTTTATATATCTGTGGAATGACCAGGGTGAGACAAAGGACTTTTGTCAGTTGGGCTAGGTGTGAATATTTCAACTGACCACCTTGATTAGCATACAATGGGCTGACTGTGCCTGGAGAGTTTGCTCCAGGCACAGTCAGCCCATTGTATGCTAATCAAACACCAAGATCCAACAAAATAAGGGATACTCAACTATATTCATTTTGCAAAGTTCTTCAGCCCTTCCAGTTTTTACCTAAATATACTTCTTTCTTCAGTACTTCCAGAGGTATTTATGAAAAAAAGATAGTTAATGAAAAAAGATAGTAAACCTTAATTTAAACAATGTTCAAAGAAATAGCCATGTTAATCTGTATCAGTATACAAAGGGAATGAGAAAGAAGTGTGTAGCATAAGATGAAATTTGAGTGGTTGGTTGCTACATCTGAATTTTTGTGTTAGGTATTACTCTGTATCTTTTCTAAAGATATGAGGTGCTTTCATTGGATTGAAACTGACCTGCCATCTCCTAGCAGAAAGATCCAACTCACACAAGGCACCTCCACCTGATTTTCAGAGATCTCCTTTTCTGGTGCTCTGGAGAATAGAGCATAGAGCAGTGGGTTCAAATGGCAGGAAAAAAGATTTCACCTAAACATTAGGATGAAATTCCTGGTTGTAAGAGCTGTTTGGCAGTGAAATATGTCTCCCTCTCTGGGTAGCCATCTGTCAGAGGTGCTTTGATTGTGTGTTCAAATGGCATTTTTGCAGTACAGTGTAGGGTAAGGAATTCAATTTCCAGCAGCTATTGCTCATATGCCTAAATCTAAATCCAACATTGCTTACAGAGCAACATCTGTGAGAAAGCAGATCATACATGTCATCTATCATCACTTTTGTAAATTATTTTCAAACTGAATTTTTCTGAGGTGACACAAGATTTTTTGGGTTTCAATTCACTATTACTAGCTAATGAAGTTAATGCACTGTTTCCCACTCAATTTTATACCAAGGATTATCTCTGTATATCCTGGCAGATGTTTGAAAGCCAGAGAGGGCTCAGATGAAATTTTAGCTTGCATCAAGTAGAGATATTGGAAGGAAAGGTGACTCAGACGCAGAAAGACAAAAAGTAGAGCACCCAAGGCCACCTCATTTTCGGAATTTACAGCAGGAGACTGTCAGTTGTATAAATGAGTGATATTGCAGAGATTTCTTTTCCAAGCATGCTAGGGATTTGGCAGTGTCTTCAGTTTTGTGCTGATGTCTCCAGAATTCAAAATAATTTGATTCTTGGGTACAGCTATGATTGGAGCACAGTATTACCTTGAAAAAGGAGACAGGAGAGGCAGCTGCTATACCCAGCTTTTGCTAACGACATTGCATTCGCAGCCAATTCCCATTTGCTCCTTTCACTAAAAACCCCATTATGTGCTGGGGTGATATTACGGTTTTCCCCTGAAGGGCACAGAATTAAAAAGAGATACTGCCAGTAATACTCATCTTCAAACCATGACATTGAATAATGGGGACAATGGGTGAGAATGATGAATAATGATGTGTTTTTAAAGATCATGCTCATGCTGAACACATTCAGAAGAAAAGAAAATGTAATCCATTGCCAATGTCTTACTACTTTCTGATTTTATTTTGGTAGACCATAGTGGGGCATTTTGTTATATATATGTATAGGATCTCAATGTAATTTCTTCATTACTGAAATTTTCTTCCTACAAAAGAAGATTTAGAATCCATTGATATATTAATCCATAATTCCTGAATTCCCAAAGAGCTTTGCAATAAAAAAATATGCATTAAACAGTAGAGTGCAGTTTGTGCTGATTCTGAATTTGCAGGGTGATTGTAACTAATCCTGTCATTCCCTACTTTTTTTGACAGTAGTCTTGTCTTTTGAGAGGCCAGTTTTTTCCAGCAAAATTATGTCTCCATTATGACATTATATTTCATCAGGTTATAATCTGAATATTATTAATTAATCCTGTTTAGAGAGTAGTTACAGCATGTCATATTTCTATGAATATGAAACAGCTGCACTACAGTGTTGATGATTTTGTATTGTATTATTATTATTATTATTATTATTATTATTATTATTATTATTATTATTATTATTATTTCCTGTGGTCATTTGTTGGGATAATTGGGCTTTCTTTAAAATGTTATGGGAATCATTCCTCTAAATCCTCTTAGATTTTCAGAGATCTTATCATAGCAGCAGTCTTTGCATTTTCTGTGTGAGCAGTTCTTTTTTTAAAAAATTGCCTAAAATAGTGGTTTCTAACCTTTTTTAAAAAAAAACAGGGACCATCTTCACCAGGGACCACTCTCCAACATTAGTACCAAAAGGGTTACGAATCAGTTTTTAGTCAACTTTAGCTTCGGTTTGGTTATTTAGGGTGCTGATTCAGACAATTGCATCGGATAGACCACATCAGCTCTAGTTTCTGATACAGAACATGTGCCATCCAGTAGTCACCATGTGCTCACCCACAGAAAACTATATTTAATAATCTAGAGCTGATGTGGTCTATCCAATGCAATTTTCTGAATCAGCACACCAAAGAACCCCAGGAACAGGCCTAAAATTGAAGACACCAAGTCACCCCCATTTCAGGTACCACATGGAATGGTTCCGCTCAGGGGGAAGGAGGAGGAGGAGAAGTAGCAGTCAGGAGGCTTGCTGTTGAGCCTTTCGTGAGTAGTCAGCTTCTCCCCTCCCGACATCCCAGTTACCTCGGTACTATAAGAGAGTTTCATGAGCCCAGCCACTCTTGTTGCAATGGTATAGTAACGGTGAGGGCGGAGACCATATTTTAGCTCTTGAGGACCACAGGTTGAAAACCACTTGCCTAAATAGATTGGCAATAAAGATATAGGATCTAAATCATTCAAATATGAACAATTTAAAAAACCCAAATGCCAGTCAAAATATGTCAAAAGAGGTGACAGGCAATGCATCTGAACCTGCACAAATGTTGACAGTAGCCTTTAGAATCAATGTGGAGAAGTATGAATGTATCCCAAATCTTTTCAAATATAGGGGATTTGTACATTTCTTTAGAACTATGGGTGGATAATAAACTTCTACCATACTACAACTGGCCCACACCTCTTCTTCAATACACATTTCATTTTTGTGCCTTGTTAATCATCCAGAAGATGATTTTATGGTTTCTGCCTTATGAAGCATTCTGAGAATCCATCCACAAAATCATCAGCAAATGGACTGAACAGCACATAATCTTAGCACAACAGGTGTTTAAATCCTTATATAAATAAAACAGTATCCAGTGGGCATGAAGCTAATCAGAAAGGGAAGCCACAGTGTTGTCTGTCCATTAAAAAAACCTATAGCTTTAAAGCCAATAGCTCTCAATTTTTGAAGAACTCAATATTAATAGAAACTTAAGCTGAAGTTCAAACACATATTCTAGGAAATAAGTCCCATGGAAGACAGTGAAATGTACTTTGAGGTAAACCTGATAAAGATTGAACCAGTGCATTGCTGTTTATGGACGAAGGATTATCTTTCAGTTGCTTCATATGCTTCCTATCACAATACCACATGAGATATTCTTTCTAAACAGCATGAATAGAGAACTTATCACATCATAAATACAGTGGGTCCTTGGTATCCCTTGGAGTTTGTATCCCTCATGGATACTAAAATCTGATCATGCTACCATATTCCTGGTTGTCGAGGTTGATCTGACACATTTTTCTAATGTTTTATAATTTGCTTGTTTTGCTTGTTTTAATTGTTTTAATTAGATTGTTTATGCCATATTATATGTTATTATGTTTTTAATTGTGTCTTAGTTTGTAAATTGTGTTCTATGCTGGGTTTGGTTCCCTTGTAAGCCACTCGAGTCCCTTTCAGGAGATGGTGGCAGGGTATAAGAATAAAGATTATTATTATTATTTGAAACAACAAGATTAGTAGACAGCAAACAAGATCACTTTGCTGGTTGTTGTATTGGATCACACGTCGAACACTTCCCAAGTGTCTAGGACTATGTGATGTATCGGTGAATAATGCATACAAATCCCAGTAGGGTGGCCTTTTGCAGCTGACAGATGGTAATTTTTTCAGCGTTGATTGTGTTTAAGTGCAGGTCAAGGTCTTTGGGCACTGCACCCAGTGTGCCGATTACCCCTGGGACTACCTTGACTGTCTTGTGCCAGAGTCTTTGCAGTTCGATCTTTAACTCCACGTAGTAGTAATTTTATTGATTAGCCCTTAGGCCATATCACAATAAGAAACAGAACAACAAGGCTTGACAAGACCTGGTCACACTCCACGCTTTAACTCCACGTGTTGTGTCAACTTTTCCAGTTGTTCCTCTTCAATCCTGCTGTCGCCTGGGATTGCAACATCAACAATCCATACTTATTATTATTATTATTAAAATACATGGATGTTCAGGTCCCATTATATACATTGGTGTAGTAAATGGTGGCCCTTATATTAACTCACAAAATTGAAGTTTGCTTTTGGATATGTGTGTGTGTGTGTGTGTTTGAATCCTTGTATGCAGAATCTGTGGAAACGGAGGTGAGACTGTAATATAATAGGCACCTATGACATTCATGCTACTGCAAACTGTATGGAAGTCACAAAAACAGTGGAAGTGCTGACTGAGCAGAATACATCTTAATAAGGAGAGGATTTCTATTTCACCTTTCCAGTGCTTTTTATATTGCTCCAAGCTGGTTACCAACAACATCAATAAAATCTAATAAAGGATATTCAGTGATGGAGAAGTGTAATATTTCCACAACATAATGGTAACTCAAGAGAAGAAACTGTGTACACAGGAATGAAGGACAGTAATTACTTTGTGTTTATTATACTAAAAAGGCAAATAATAAAGAAAAACACAACTCTGAGATGAGTTACTTTTTATTAAACCTGCAGGATCTTACTACACACAAACAATTATTTGTGTTGCCTATGTTAATAAAATAGCTGAGCAACTCTTTATCTGTATACAAACAAGTGGTAGAATTTCTCATTTTCCAGGAATGACAGCTGAACATAGCTGTGCATCTCAGTTTCCTTAAATAATTGCTTAGAATTTAAGGTTGCAGTCCTCTTGCCCAGTCACATGCCATTAAGTCTGCCAAACCCTTAAATGTATATTACTGGGTGCATGGTTATGCAATGCTGCAGCCAGAGCTTATATTTTTAATTCCATATGTGGGATGGGGATGGGAATTATTTCCATGCTGGGGTAAAGTCCCTCTCCTTCCATATCTAGAACTTACAGAATTGGAGTTCCAACCCCCTTCTCACCACACACATCTTTGTGACACCATCTCATTTTGAATTAATGTTGGGATTATGGTCTATATAGAGTAAATAGAAAGGACGTTTAAAAATTCAGTTTCACAACCTAGTCTGCATGTGTCAAAGTCATAATAATATTTTTTTTACACATTACTACTGTATTTCTAGTCAAGGGAATCAATTGTCTTCATTTGTAGATTCCCCTGCTTTCATAATCATCTCCAAGAGTGTCAGTTTATCATCAGTCTGTAAACAGAACTCCATCTATTTGCTAATGTTTCAAAACCCAGGCGTCGTCTGTACACAATGCAGTGTATGCGTTTTCTGTTGTATTTTCCCTTTCCCCAGCACAAAGCACAAAGATGTTGTGATTGATGCTCTTACCATCACACCTAGGTATTTGTGTTCCCCGTGAAATGGATTATAGAGCTTATGAGGCACTGGTCGGCTATATCATCCCATTGATCTTAGTCCATTCATAGATGTCCTGCTCACACACTATGTCTGAGTTGATAAGAAGGTATCTGTCACCAACACAAAAGTGTTTTTGGCAGGCAGCACACTTGAAGCATTCCAGGTGGTATACTTTGTCTTTCACTCTCATGGTCATCTCGTAGGCCCGGATGCGTTTGTCACAGGAGGCACACAAGCCATCTTGGCCAAAAAGCCTTGAGTAAGAGGGAGGAAAATCCAAACAGTTAGGTTTACAAATGATATTTCTAACGAAGTAAAATGCAAGAATAATTACTCATCTAGTTTGTCTTCCAAACTGCATAGAAATTTAAAAGAATGGAGGTTGGGCACCTGGAAGAGGTGAGAAGAGGCAATACAGGGGATTCAGTGGCAGGCCTCATTATTCTTTTATGTCTTATTTCTTCCCAAACTGACCTGTCAAAGTTGGTTGTTATGAGATAGGCTTGCTGTGTTCTAATTTGGATTATGAAACAATAAAGATTATTATAGAATCGTAGAGTTGGAAGAGTCCTCATGGGCCATCCAGTTCAACCCCCTGCCAAGAAGCAGGACAACTGTGTTGTCGAAGCCTTTCTTGGCCAGAATCACTGGGTTGTTGTAGGTTTTTCGGGCTGTATGGCCATGTTTTAGAAGCATTCTCTCCTGACGTTTTGCCTGCATCTGTAGCAAGCATCCTCACAACCTCGAAAAACATACAACAACCCAGTAATTCCGGCCATGAAAGCCTTCGAGCCAGAAACCTACAACAACCCAGCAAATGTGAAAGGAAGCACTCCAGGGCAGAGAGTTCCACTGCTGAACAGCTCTCCAAAAGTTCTTCCTCTTGTTCAGGTGGAATCTCCTTTACTGTAGTTTGAAGCCGTTTGTTCTGTGTCCTAGTCTCCAGGGCAGCAGAAAACAAGCTTGCTCCCTCCTCCTTATGGCTTCCCCTCACATACGAGTACACAGGGCCGTAGCCAGAAAAAAATGGGAGGGTTGACAATTTGGGGGGGGGGTTTGAAAATTTCAGGGGGGGGTTTTGAAAATTTCGGGGAGGGTTGAAAATTTGGGGGGGGTGAAACCTGCCTCCTAGCTCACGCTGAAGCAAAGAGCACAGCAGGGGGCAGAACAGCCTTCAATAGCCTGCAGCTCCACCCCTGTCAACCACCTCCACCAAGTCTGGCCTCCTTAATGAGAGCATTCAACACACACACCCCAACTTGGTTGCTTCACTACATCGGCTATTGCTGCAAGTAATGACAGTGTGAATAAATTGTCAATATTTGCTTGAAATAGTGCTTGCAGTTCTGGAGGGACTCTTAATTTTTTGCATCTCATAGACTTAGCATGGGGATTTGGTTAACCAGTTAAAATTCATGAGTAAACCAGGTTTTTTTAAAAAAATCTGAAACATTTCGGGGGGGGGTTGAACCCCTAAAACCACCCCCTCGCTACAGGCCTGCGAGTACATGACCATCATGTCTCCTCTCAGCCTTCTCTTCTACTGGCTAAACATGCCCAGCACTTTAAGCAGCTCCTCATACGGCTTGTTCTCCAGACCTTTGATAATTTCAGTTGCCCTTCTCTGGACACATTCCAGCTTGTCTACATTATAGGAGTGCATATGTGAGATTTTGGACTTCCTTTTGACCAAAAGACTTCCATGATCACGGAACCATTCATACTGCATAGAATGATTTTGGAATCAGCAAGAAATTTTATCCCAAATCCAAAGGTTTTCTAAATTTGCTCTATTTTGGCATAACATTTCTGTGGTAAGACATACCTACAAAAACTACATTTATCATACATTTCTCAAGTTTTCAAAAGTTGCTCATTGTAATGTGGAGGAGATAGCATATATTTCTATATGCTATCTCCTATAGATAGGAGATAGCATATAGAAATATATGCTATCTCCTATCTATATACATATCAAGATATATATATCTATATATATATCCTATCTATATATATTTCAAGATATATATATCTTGAAATATATATATATTTCAAGAAGGTTTCATAATACATATTGCTTATTAGAAATATTACTGCCTGTTTAATTTTCCAAGCTTCTACTGGGTAGTAGAGAGAAAAATATATTTGCTGCATGTGTTTAATTGCATGAATTCGTTTTTTCCAGCACTACTAAAATCATCCTACTTAGTCCAATAACATATTGTTTCCCTGGACTGACAGGAGGGGTCACTGTTTGTTTCTTTAACATGACAGTAATATAATTGTCATATAGAGATGTTTTTTTATAAGTGACACCAAGAACACCATTTCCTTTTAAATACGTCACTTGCAAAACATATAGGGTTAAAAATGCAAAAACTGTCAAATTATATCAAACACATGCACACACAAACACATGCTAGACAGTGTAGATTTTTATATATGAATTACAGACTCATGAAATAAAAAAATTAACAGTCCATGTCTATGAATCTCTTCATTAGCAGACACAGATAATTAACACATTATACTGTGAAAAGATGGAACACATCCAATTACAAGGCACAGAAATGCATTAATTTAACAGCCCATATTTTCTGAAATTACGGTGAGAAAATATGCAGCTAGTAGAAATAGAACTGAAACACAATGCTATTCATACACTGGAGACTTCCTTCATATTAATTTCATGAAGCTGGTCCTACTCAGACAATGCTGCAAATGGAAAATCTTTGAAGTCAGATAATTAGGTACGTTATTAGTACTCTATTCCTGCCTCTTTTCCCAGGTGAATGTGGCATATATTAATACAGCTAAGTCAAGTTGCATATATATAAAGTGAAAACCATTTTATGTGATTTTATAGTATCACCCAAGTGAAGTATAAGATAAATGGTAAATAATAGCACATACTGAACAGCCAATGATACTCTTAGGGTAAGATAAAGGTTTCCCCTTGACGTTAAGTCTAGTTGAGTCTGACTGGGGGGTGTTACTCATCTCCATTTCTAAGGCGAAGAGTCGGCGTTGTCCATAGATGCCTCCTAGGTCATGACCACATAGAGCACCATTGCCTTCCCACCAAAGCAGTACCTATTGATCTACTCACATTGGCATGTTTTCGAACTGCTAGGTTGCCAGAAGCTGGGGCTAAAAATGGGAGCTCATCCCGTCCAGTGGATTCGAATTCTGCAGCTTAATAGTTTAACCCGCTGCACCACCGTGGCCTCATATGATTCTCTTAACCCTATTTAATTTTTCTACTACTGAAATGATTTTGAAACAGAAACTATAGGAAAAAGTCTAAAATCTGAATGGGATGTGTTAGGAGCATTGTGATTGTAAAAAGGCACATTGCAACAACTTGATTTGAAAGATTTGTCTTATTATGTCTGCCTTTAAAATTAGCATAATTCTTCTTCCTTTTCTCTCCTCTTCTTATGCCCATGGCCCATGCCATATTGTGACTCAGCTTGATATCACACATCAGCAGCACATGGCAAAGTGGGCAAAATGAGAGTGTTGTCTACCCTCTCCAAAAAGAAATCCTGCCGTTAAGAAATGTTCCATAACTCCACAAATTTTAGCATTAGAATGGGTTAACATTTCAGATCAGCATACAAATAAAAGATACAAGTAAAGTTATCAAAGAAATGTGAGCACAAAAATTTTAAGAGTTCTAAGTGCGGGTGATTTTTAATATCTGTGCAGTCCTAGAAATGTGCAGACTGAATGAAAAATTCACTGGAATGCTTACTTGAGTGGACAATGGGCCCATCTACACTGCTAAATAATGCAGTTTCAAACGGTACTATATAGCAGTGTAGACGGGGCCCAAGTCTTTGTGTTGTGCCTCTAGTAAGTAAAAACATTCATCACATTTTGCTCTGAAATTCCTGATGCTCCAGACTTGGTTTAGAGACCAGCTTGTTTCCAATTCCTTCAGCTCAGGATACACTCGGCTCTTCTCATTCTTGTGGTTGAGTTTTGAGGCATGATTTATCCCAGCTTTGTTCTAAATAATGGGGAGCAACACAAAAGATGGAGATTAAAAAGGCCGTTCCATACCTGAGATAGTCTCTTCGACAGAGCTTTCTGCCCAGTTTATAATACAGTCGCCTTCCCACTTCTCCAAGCCTGCATCCGCACAAATCACAGCTGAGACAGTCTTCGTGCCAGTACTGATCAATGGCTTTGAGGAAGTAACGGTCCCCAATGTTCTGTTGGCAACCTCCACATGTTAAGAGCGAAGGGGGAATTTGGAGCACCTCGTCTACCGGTTCCCTGTTTGAAAGAAATAGTTTTTAGAAATATACCAAAGCAAGCATTCAAAGTACTTTGGCCACATAATGGGAAGACAGGAAAGTTTGGAGAAGGCAGTGATGCTGGGGGAAATGGAAGGAAAAAGGAAGAGGGGCCAACCAAGAGCAAGATGGATGGCAGACATCCTTGAAGTGACTGGATTGACCTTGAAGGAGCCAGGGGTGGTAACGGCTGACAGGGAGCTCTGGTGTGGGCTGGTCCATGAGGTCACGAAGAGTCAGAAACGACTGAACAAATGAAAAACAAAAGCATTCCAAAGCCATTCATTCTGGCTGGAGTTTTAGCCTCATTGTGTTTCTACTGTACTTCCTGAGGCGCACACCCTACACGAAATGCAGGAACAAGAAGAATCTACTATATTTACTCATGTGTAAGTTGACTTCATGCATTAGTTGAGGACAGGCTTGGAATTAAAAATGATAGATTATGATATGCCCCATGGATAAGTTGAGTGTCATTTCATGCCCACTGTAACCACTTCCTCACTTTGGCATTCAAAAAGGCTAGAAGTGGCCCCAAGGCAGGGAGAATGGAGGGGGCTGGTGCAAGTTTTACGTTATCCTGAAACTGATTAAGCTCTTGACTTTCATCACTTTGTTCAGACAATGTGGTAGTTCCTTTTTTTTATAAGACTTCAGGCACTACAGTCACCTAGATCCATGGATAAGTCATAGATACATAGAGTTGGAAGATACCACATGGGCCATCCAGACCAACACTCTGCCATGTGGGAAAAGCACAAACCATGCTTTTCATGACATATATATCAGTATACAAGATATGCAGGGGAAAGTAATCTTATTTTCCACAGTCAGAAGCATGGTGAGGCTAAAGGACATAGAACAGGATAAAAGAGAGAGGGATGAAATTCTTGTTGTTTCTCATCAAATCAACTTTGAGCCCCCAGTGGTGCAGTGGGTTAAACTCTTGTGTCAGCAGGACTGTTGACCAACAGGTCAGTGATTCGAATCCGGGGATAGATCCCTGTGTTTGGTGGATTTTGGTTTGGTACTGGGGAGACTCCCTCCTGGGTGCACAGAAGACTGGGCGACTTGGAAGGCGTTGAACAGACTGCGCTCTGACACCATGAGATGTAGAGCCAACCTTAAGAAATGGGGTCATGAAGTGGAGTCCATAACATGTGAGCATGGAGAAAAGCAAACCACAGACCACCTATTACAATGCAGCCTGAGCCCTGCCACATACACAATGGAGAACCTTCTTATAGCAACACCAAAGGCACTCCAAGTGGCCAGCTACTGGTCAAAGGATATTCAGTATAATGCCAAGTTTTTAAACTTTGTTTGTGTTTTTAAATACATTAAAAGTGTACCCTCGGTTTGCTTCTGACATGATAAATAAAAATGGGGATGATGGATGCTATACGCCTACATCATCTGTAGGGCTGTCCCTTTCCCCCATCCTTCCTATAGATACTATTCGCACACTCATTTTTTGAGGCATGGATTACCAGCAAGAACCCCAAAATTTGTAGAAGCTCAAAAAGTACTGGAGGGTCTGCAAAAGAGAGATGCCAAAAGCATACCAATGTGGATTCTATATGGTCTCAGGAATTGTGATGAATGAATTAGAGATGGCAAATGGAATGGAGCTTTGAGGTCTGTACTGCAACATTTTGTTGCAAGATGTTCTTGTTGGTAATGAGCTTCATTTTCTTTCAGAGGTCAGTATGATTTAGTTTTATGAATTATGGGAAATTCAATCTCTAATCATTCATATCATTATTGGTGTTCAGAAAATCATGCAATCCTGAACTAGTAACGAAATAAAACAAAGCAAGAAGAATGCCGTTTCTTAATGTAATTGTATTATTTCCCTGGAAGATTCCTTGTTCCCTCAACCTTCCATTTAGTAACAGTAGTTGAAAAATATACTAGTGAAACACTGACAGTCTGCATAGTCAGCAACCAACAGTAAGGCATTTTAGCACATGTTTAACCTTAAGCTCATAAACATTGCCACTGAAAATGAAAAAAAAAATCTTACATTTTCAAAGTTAATCATGTGATTTAGTGATTATTTTATGCTCCTAGCTCAAACTATTAACAGTGTTCAATCCATCTTTTTTGACTGATTGTTCAATATTGGTTTAATAAGCTCATTTGGACTCTCACTTTCTCCCAACCTTTGCACCGCTGCAAGATGGAATTAAAAAGAACGACCAAAGCACTTTACAGTCAATGTGGATGTTACATTGGACTAAATCCAATTTTAATCTCAGCAAGACCAGACTTACAAAAATGAACTATGTTAGTCATCATTTATCTAAATTTGGTTATTAACCTTGTAGATTTGTTTAACCCACAAGCAAATACAGGGAAAGTGCCCAGTTAAATGCTAGTAAAGGTGAAAGTCTAGTCGTGTCTGACTCTGGGGATTAGGGCTCATCTCCTTTTCTATGTTGAAAAGCCAACATTGTCCATAAATGCCTCCAAGGTCATGTGGCCGGCATGACTGCATGGAGTGAAGTTACCTTCCCACAGAAGCAGTACCTATTGATCTACTCACATTTTGCATGTTTTTGAACTGCTAGGTTGGCAGAAGGTGGGGCTAACAGTTAATATGATGTGATAAAATGTGGGCCGAAAAATAGCTATCTCCACCCACCTTCTGCTCTATGTATCTCTCACTACATTTCCTTAAATGTTAACTCAGTGTCCTTTACATTTGGCATTAT